TTACGAATTTTAGATCAAATGAATAGTAAAGCCCACTGTAAATGGATCAAAGCCCAACTCTGTTTATTTTAATCACACACATGAGACATTAGTATTGTGATCACTAATATTATTATATGAATCAATTAAAAAATCAATAATACTAACATGATTTGTCTCCATCTCATTGGTCCTTTGTTTGCAACAGATTCATATATTTAGTATTTCCCACAATACAATAGGACAGGGTCTTGTATATTTTCATTTATGTTTTTGTTGGAATGTCTTGACTCTCCACAAAATCTCCTTTTACAAAGGACTCTACATATGATTTATTAGAAGTCAACACAAAAATGAAATTTAATATTGTTTAGATTTCAAATGTAACAATTCAACAATGTATACAGTATATGACGTTTTTGACTAAGCAACATGAGGTTTCAACCATGCATGAGTCGCATCAAACAAATATAAAGCAAATAAACTTTACTAATGATTTAATCCGAGTTATGTATCTACTTGTTATCTTAGATCGTTGCAAATCTTCTCAAAACCAACTCAATTATTTTTTTACTATGGAATATGGATCTCACTCGTTATTGAATTTATGATATTTGAACGATAACCTCAACTGATAATCTTATAAACAAAATTTCTTGGCAATAGATTTAATTAATAGATAATGGATATACGTGCGGAAAATGCAAGAAACGATTCATAGATTCTTACGCTATATAACCAAAGCACATTATTTTTCTCCAAATAAACATTGTAAATTAGAAAGGACTTTCGTTTAATTTTGTTTCATTTCCGAATGTAATGACTTTTGTTTTAAGGTGTGATTTGATTTGATTTTTACAGCTAGCATCCATAACCAACTTTACTCTGTTTACAAAGACTAACATTTCACAAAGTCATCCTGAAACCTAATTTTTACTTAAAAAGTCAAGATTCGTGATTTTTGTCAAAAAAAATAAAAAGTCAGAAAATTCGGTGAAATTTCACAAACCTTTTGGAAAATTAGTATTTTCCAGAAAAGATATTCCCTAAAAAATTTGGTATTTCAAAAAAACTAGTTTTGAAAATTTAATTATTCAGTTTTCTTAGAATTTGGCAAAAGCTAGTCAAAATCCTATGACTCCCACTTTGTTCTTTTTGACTTTTGTAACTAGCTGATGATTAAAATAACAATATAATGAAACAAAATATCATATATATAAAATAAGTGAAATCCATGATTTAAATAGATTTGGTTATAAAATATTTATTCATTCAGAAATAAACGGACTGACCGGTTGTCCTTTCTCTTTAATTTAATTCCTTACAAATAAAAATTTAATAAATTATTCATTGAGGAATAAATGAACGGACGAAAAGACAACAACATATTTAAGGAATGGGGAATTCTAATGGCACCATTGTGAAAACCATTCAGGTAAGTCAAAACCACCGTTAGTGATTATTGCGTCGTGTCATTTACTATTTGCATATGATTTATCTATAAACAACTATTAAAAAATTGATTTGATATTCATCCGTTGCTAACATATTATAATTTTTTTTCATTTTAACTCTTTTAACTTATATATAAATTTTAAACCCTTATGCCGTTTATAATTATATAATTCCATTTTAACCATTATTATATATATTTTACTTTTTAGGTATTTATATTCTAATATAAATTAATATTTTTATCATAAAAATATATTTGTTATAGAATAGAATATTATTGTATTTTTATATTTTTAATTAGCTTCATAGTATTAATATTAGAGTAAATTACATAAATAGTCCATGTGTTTTGATCAGATTTGTAGTTTTAATCTTTAAGTTTAAAAAATGATAGGATGTATCATGTATTATTGTGGTTTATAAATATTGCTGTTTTGATCATTGCTTAGTAACTTACCATTTCTTTTACATTTTCATTTTTTTAACAATTTATTATTATTATTATTATTATATAACAATTTTATTTGTTCTTTATTTTATTAGAATTTGTATAGATTTCTTATAATTTTTTTTAAAATTAATATTGTAAGTTATATATATATATATATATATATATATATATATATATATATATATATATATATATATATATATATATATATATATATAATATTATAATATTCTTATTATGATTTATTCTTAGTTTTTTTTTGTGGTTTAAAAATCTTTTAATATATTTGACGTTTTATTCGAATATACGATTTAATATTGTTTTTTTTTTTTTTTTTTTTTTTTTTTTTTTTTTTTACGTTTTGTTCGTTCAGTAATTGGAATTTCCGTAAATGGGTGTGAATTTCCGTAAAAAACGATAATTTATCAACTTTATCAAATTGGGTTTTTTACGTTTTGTTCGTTCAGTAATTGGAATCAAATTGGTAATTTGCGAATATGGAAGGGAAAAAAAGTTAAATGTCGCATGTTAATCGCTTTGATTTCGTTGTTATCGTTAAAATTCTTACTAATCTCGAAACTTTACACATCATTAATCCATGGGCGCTTGCTTCTCTTCATATAACAATGTCTAATTATAATCGTATTCTAGAGTGCAAATGGAGGGAACGCCATATCAATGAATCCAACTATTGGAGCTTCACGCCATTGGAGAGATGTCTTCTGGTTAGGAATCTTTGTTTTACATCTAATTTTAGTAGGTTTCTCTCTTGGGATACTTGGACTCAACAGATTCAGAAAGAAAGATAGGCTTAACATCGATCAATACACAAACAGGTTTCTTGAAAATCAAACCGGTTTAACAGAAGATTACTGGCCACTCTACGCCATTTCTGGTGCAATCGGTACATTTATCGGATGGATTTGGTTGTTATTACTTGGTTCACGTCCAAATCAAATGATGAAATTCTCTGTTCATATATTAACCACATACCTCGCAGTTGTTAGCGTCTTGTGTTTTTGGGGGAAACTAGTCTTCTGGGGTATCACTTTTGCTATTGGATCTGGATTACACTTCTTATACATCATATCAGTCATAGACAGGTAATAATAAAGTTAAAGTTGTTATCTTTTTCAACTTTTATTTAACTCCCACTTCATCTAGACTTCCATTCACAATGTTGGTTCTTCAAAGAGCTGTAAAAATGGTATGGAAGCTTCCAGAAATCATGAGAATCGTATGTGCATTGATGTTAGTCATGCTTCTTTGGCTAGCATTATGATTGTTCGGGTGTTTTACTAATGGGTATGATATTAGGTGGGCTTATAACAGGAACTTGTGCTGTTGTTTTATCAAGGATTAGACATCAGACAGAGAGATGATGATGGGTTCCACAACTATACTAATGGGAAAATCTTAGACATCCAGACAGAGAGATGATGATGGGTTCCACAACTATACTAATGGGAATGATTTTGATAAATAATTTTTTTTATAAAAATAAATGTAATATATAATTTATTGTAAATGATAAATGGTAACTAGGTTGGGTTGGCAATGGTGGTGGTGGAAAGTGTGGTTACATCGATATATATTTGTTACATGGAAGATTCGTTGTTGATACACAGGTGGGACCCAGATTTTTTTAATTAGATGTCAGAGAAGCTGCATCAATGCCTTCAACATAGAAGTGCACGCGTTAGGGATGGGTTGAGTCAAAGTCAATATATTGACCGTGATCGTATACAAGAAACCATAACTGTTTGATTGTAAATGGTTTTATTTTGTTTTTGAAAATGTAATGATTTGATGTGGTTGTTTTAAACTTTTATATCGTTAATTTTATTGGGTCTCACCTAAGGTTGAATCCTATCTATTGAAATTATGCATCTAATTGTATATCTAATTTCTTAATTGGATCATTTGTTGTAACATCCCAGGCGTACATACAAAGATACTGTCTAAATTTTCAACTGTAGTAATTAATTATCTAGTATTGCTAAAGTGATAAAGTAAACCGATTGTGTATATTATGAAAGAGAAATTAAATATCCTTCTATTTTGTTCTTACAAATTTTCATGTTTAATTAAATGATGATTTGTATCATATTAATATATTAAAATATCATTAAACGAACATTAAATGGTACATATGTTATTTAATTGGATAGGAACATTAAATGCCCTTTAAGACTAGAACGTCGCCTGTTCCACCTATGGACTTTTGGTATATCTATAATGAGGTGGAAAACACTCTCTAAGGTAGATGGATGGTCGGAAGTTCTCCGATGTGGAGAGAGGACTCATGGAGGAGCAATAACAATGTTTGTCACAAACTTACCGGAGGGAATAAGGAAAGAGGAGTTATGGAAACTATTCACAAACCATGGAGCAATTAGCGACATATACCTTGCAAGGAAAAAGGATTCGAGTGGGAGATGGTTCGCCTTCGTCAAATTCTCTGGTGTCAAGAACGAGACAGAGATGTAAGCTAGGTTGCAAGGGATCTCATGCATGGGGAGAAGACCGATGATTAATATTGCAAAGTTCGAGCGGAAGAAGGTACACACATCAAACAAGGAGTCATCATCCGCATGGAGGAATAAAGGTAAACAGAGAATCTTTGTCGACACCTGGAGGGACGGAAGAACATTCACAGCAGTGGAGCATTGGCTGAAAAGTGAACTAACCATTGTGGGTGAAGTTCGAAGCTATGATCATCTGACAAGTCTACCAAGTTCAATTTTGAATGGAGATGGTGGGAGATATAGCGCAAAGTATATGGGCGGATTATGAATCGGTATAAAAGTCCGGAACCCTTCTGATACGAAGCAATTCATGGAGAATAAAGGATTCTAGGAACCTTGGTTCAAGTGGATCGATTGTGGTGATAAAGTAGAAATTAAGGAGGACAGGATCGCATGGTTAAAAGTGGTAGGACTTCTGCTCTCACCTATGGGATGAAGGGAATTTTCGAGCCATCACTTGGAAACTAGGAGTGATTTCAAAATCAACAGAATTAAGCATGTCAAGGATGGATGTATCACACATGAAAATATGCGTTCTTACCATGATATTAAACAGAATAAACGAAGAATTAACAGTTGTTGCTGACAATAAATTACTTAAAATAGGTATATATGAGGTAGATGACAACTGGAAGCTGTTTGTGACATACCCAGAAGACAGTGAGGCTGAATCAGAAGGGGACGATGATGACGATGCTATCTCTAATACTATGAAGGACGATGACGAAATCAAATCTGTTGATATGGGCGAGATGTTGGAAGAAGGAGAAATAGGTAATGAAAGTGAGTCAGCAAGAATTCACATGAATCACAGTTTGATGATGATTCTCAGGTAGACATAAACGGAGAACCTCCGACGACACTACCAGCGGACATTTCGGACGTTGGGGATGATGATGCAATTAATCACGATCATGGAAGACTGGGAAATTAACATGGGAATTCGGTACTGCGAGAGGATGAAGATCAACAGTCATAAATAAATATGACTCCTGGGAATATGGAACGCATGATAAATGAAAATGAAAATGAGATGGCTGACGGTGATGAGTATGGGACCCCACAAATTCCTCTTGAAAAATTAAGAGAGGTTCTCCCAAATGGAGGCTTTGGACCTTTTCCAAACTTAGGCGTAAGAAGGATGGATGAGCCCAACAGTATAACGAATTTAGAAATGGACCATAATGGATCATATTTAAAACGCAGAAAGGTGAGACAGATCTTAGTGTTCCCAAATATCGACCAATTCGCCATTAACCACAGTAACGATCGTGGGGCTCCAAGTACTGATTTGAGTCAATATTCCTCTTTGGATCTAAATCAAACTCCTCACAATGCATCATTCCACACCTAAATTGTTCGACCCCCTGATATTCCACCTGTTTCTGAAATCGAGAAGACTTCTGAAGTAGTTCGTATTGTGGGTTTTGAGATAAACGCGCGTAATGAGATCTTGGCGAAAATTTTGGGCGAAGATGGTGAGCAAATTGTTGAGAAATGAAGTTAATGTCGATCAATATTCAGGGCATGGGTGAGAAGCACAAACTTGATTGGGTCATAAAATTAAGACAGATGAACAGATTGACTCTAATATGTATCCAAGAAACACAACTTCACGAGGGGGTGGACGAAACAGATAGAAATTTCGGTTTTGATTGTATTGCAACAAATGGTAGGTCAGGCGGTATCCTTACTATTTGGGATAAATCTTTCTTTTCCTTTACAGAGTTAGTCAAAGCAAGACACTTCTTGGCGATTTTTGGGACGTGTCATGGTTCGGGCCTGAGAATGGCAATTGTAAACGTTTATGCACCACAATCTATTACGAAGAAAAGGAATTTATGGGAGGATTTTTTACAATTAAGAAGATCAAGGGATACGACATGGATATTCATGGGGGATTTCAATGCAGTAAGAAGACAAGAGGAGAGAATAAATTCTAGTTTTGTATAACATCTGCACAAGACTTTAATAATTTTATTCAAGAGGGGGGCTTCATGATTTAAAAATGGGTGGATTCAAATACACATACTTCCAAAACTATGGTGCAAAATTAAGTAAATTAGATAGGATCCTTGTATGCCCAGATTTTACCAAACAATTCCCACAAGCTGCATGTACCGATCTTCCAAGGGAACTTTCCAATCATTGTCCGATCCTCTTGGAATTATGTTCTTTGGATTTTGGACCTATCCCATTCAAGCTATTTAATGCTTGGATCCTTCGACCTGGATTTAACGATGTTGTGTTGCAGGCGATTTCTGAATTCAAAGGATATGGATTACCAGACATTTTTTTTCTTAGCAAACTAAAATTTATTAAAGGCAGAATTAAAAGTTGGCGTGCGATGGCATTTTCAAAAGAGGGCATGGAGATCGAGAAGACCAAAGAAAGGATGATGGAATTAGATAAAAAGGCTGAAAGAAACTGTTTACACGAGGAAGAAGTCAGTGAATGGGCGAAAATTTCTAGCAAACTCACTGAATTGGAAAAAATGGCGAGCTTGGATCTAAGACAAAAATCAAGAATCAAATGGTTGGTTGACAGGGATGAAAACACCCGGTTCTTTCACGGGTTTGTTAATAATAGAAACCGGAAAAATCATATAAACGAACTACTGATAGATGGTATTTGGTCAAATCAGCCAGGAGAGATTAAGAAGGAAGTCTTTAGTTACTTCTCTTCAAAATTCAAAGAGAAATGGAAGCAAAGACCAGAATTCCGAAGTGAAAAATTCAAAAAACTCTCCCAGGCTAGCAGTGAGTTCCTTGAAGGTGCTATTTCGATAGAAGAAGTGAAGAGGGCTGTGTGGGATTGCGGAAACGATAAGGCTCCAGGACCAGATGACTTCACCTTCAAGTTTTTGAAAAAATATTGGGATGTTTTAAAGGAGGATATTATTGCCTATGTTAACCACTTTGAGCAGTGGAGCAGGCTCTCCCGTGGATGTAACTCTTCATTTATAACATTAGCGGCCAAGACTAAGGATCCGCTAGTCCTAGGCGATTACAGGCCCATTAGCCTTATCGGATCTTTGTATAAAATTATTGCAAAGCTTCTTGCTTCAAGAATTCGTGTGGTGATTGGGGAATGTATTGATGAAGTACAAACTGCTTTTGTTGAAGGTCGCAACATTTTAGAAGGTCCACTTATCGTTAATGAGTTATGTTCGTGGGGAAAGAAGGCTAACAAGAAGATTACTTTTCAAGGGTGATTTCAATAAAGCATTTGACTCGGTAAACTGGAATTTTTTAGATTCTATGATGCGAAAAATGAACTTCGGTATAAAATGGATGTTTTGGATGAAGGGATGCTTGGAGTCAGCTAGAGCTTCGGTTTTGGTGAATGGCTGTCCAACTGATGAATTCCAATTGGAAAAAGGAGTTAGACAAGGAGACCCTTTATCGCATTTTCTATTCATATTAGCCATGAAAGGTTTAAATATTGCATTAAAGGGGGCAACTAAAAAAGGTATATTTCAAGGGATTTCCATTCCGAGATCTAACATTCAACTATCGCATCTATTTTACGCAGATGATGCCCTCTTCATTGGGGAATGGTCCCACCAAAACATAAAAAACCTCGCTAGGTTGCTCAAATGTTTCTATGTATCTTCCGGTTTAAGTGTCAATTTCAAAAAATCCAAAGTTTTGGCATAGATGTTAATTCGCAGGAGGTTGAAAATTGGGCACTACCGCTAGGGTGTGAACCGAGCACATTGCCATTCACATTCCTTGGGATACCGGTGGGGGAAAACATGAATAGAAAAAGCTCCTGGAACCCGATAATTGAAAATTTCAGAAACAAACTTTCTTGCTGGAAATCAAAGACCTTGAGTTTTGGTGGGAGGGTGACTCTTGCAAAGTCAGTTCTTGGGAACCTCCCCACATTCTATCTGTTACTATTTGCCGCTCCATTGGGGGTTATTGAGACATTGGAGAAAATCAGAAGAAATTTCATCTGGGGAGACACAAATAATGAACACAAAATCTGATTGGTGACTTGGGACAAAATTCTTGCTCCTAAGGAGGTTGGTGGTCTAGGTCTGGGATCCATAAAGACAATGAACTTAGCATTGCTTGTGAAATGGAAATGGAAATTTTTTCACGAGCAAAACTCGATATGGGCGAAGGTTATAAATGGTATTCATAACCTAGGATCCTTCCCTCCAACACGGTTGTCTTCCAAATATCTAGGTAGGGTACGGAAAAGTATTGACAAATGCAAAAACTCCCTTAGAATAATAAGCATTGCAGATTCAGATATTATTCGTCGAAACCAAGAGGAGTCGATATGGGAATCTGATTTTGCTATAGATGGGAAATTTCACGTTGCAGGGTTACGAGGAAGGATAGATCGGGCATGTCACTTGGCTCTGGATGGAGCTTTCACGTGGAGTAAATGGATTCCCAACAAGGTGACTGCTTTGTATGGCGAGCAAGGATTGATCGAATCCTTTCAGCGTGTGCTCTTATGAGGTGGGGAGTTAAGATTCAAGGCGAAACATGCAGTGTATGTATTTTAGGGAGTGAAATAGCAGATCATATGTTGGTCACTTGTCATTTTGCAATTGCAATTTGGAACCAGATATGGAATTGGTGTGAAATCATACCCCATCAACTGTCTAATGTCAAAGAGATTTTAAATTTCGTAGCCACGTGTGGGAAATCCCAAACAAAGAAGAGAGCAATAAATTCAATCATATTCAGAACATTATGGGGAATGTGGAAAGCAAGGAATGATAGAGTTTTCAACTCAAAGTTTATACCCCCGGAATTGGTGTTTGAAGGTGTCAGATCCATGGTCTATAATTGGATTAAATTTAGGCATGGAAAAGGAAATTTTGTATGGGAGATTTGGAAAAATTCGCCGATCTCTTCTATGTAATTTAGATTGTATTTTGACTCTCACTAGTTCCTTTCTAGAGAGTTTGTTTTAATAAAAATTGCCAGTTCCAAAAAAAAAAAAAAAAAAATTTGTAGGAAAAAAAGTAGAAGGATATTTAATTTCTCATTATGAAATTAACAAAATTAACAAGATGAAGTATTTATTTATATAGATCACTTTATGTACAAAATAACGAATTACTAATTCAAGTATAATCAAATTAACAAGATGTAGTATTTATATATATAGATCACTTTATGTACAAAATAACGAATTACTAATCCAATTAGTAGTATAATCACACATGAATCTTTTGTCCTTCTAATGAATGTATTCTTCCTCCTTCTTTGTTCTTTTTTGATTTATGGTGTCTTCTTCTCCTTACTTTTCCGGCGGCCGCCACCCGGGGTATGAAAACACCGGTGCCAGCCCCATTATTGGCCCACAAGCTCTCCATCCAACCAGGGACCTCCAAGCTTCTACCACCTTGACCCTCCAACCAGTTAAAATACTTCCCGGAGCCACCACTTACCGGTGTCCTTTGAAACTGTGAAACTCCATTTCTGCTTCTTCTTGTATATGTGTCGTCATCTTCATCCATAATCAACAGTATTTGTCTTGTGAGTTCTGTGTAAAAGGTTGTATCCTCAAAATCCGGCGACTCCATGTTTGACCGATGAAGAATGTAGTCTGGATTCATGTTGATGGAAGAGATATCAGATATGGATGTGTTAGGATTTGAAAGTAAAGTCGTTTTAATGGAGTATTTATAGATAGAGAAGTTGATTAGAATGAATCACGTTGAGCTTCCAAATGGGGCCATGATTTTCCCACTTGGCAAGTTGTGAGTCAACGAGTCAAAGATAGTTTAAGAGGAGAAAACAAGGTTTTAGTCTTTGAAATTAGTCAAAAGTGTCAACTTTGAGAATATTTATTATAAAAAAAGGCGTTTATTTCTGTGAAGAAAGGAACAATAGATTTGGTCAAGGTTTCTGTTCACATTGCAACTTTGCAAGAAGAATATATTGTCGGCTGCACCAACTCAATAGTGTAAGAGTCAAGGCCCTTGTATAAAGATTTAAAATATCAAGAATATAGATCCAAATACAAAATTGTTTAAAATATTCTAGCTATTGGATTTTAACATCTAATTCTTTCGAATTTTATATTTTAAAAGTGTTAGTATGTTTTTCTGTCGGCTTTATATATTTAAGATTGTTATATAAAAAAATTTAGGAAATGAGAGATCTTCAAACAAAAAAAAAATCGATTATAGCTAGAATGATATCGTATCTTATTTATAATAAAACAAAACTTATATGAATTGAAAAAAAAAAAAAAAAAAAAAAAAAAAAAAAAAAACTATTTAGTTGAAAATTAGGGTCGAAAGCAATGACGCAAGAGAAGTCAAGTACGTTGCAAAAAGTTATGCAACTTCTGCTAGTGAATTGGTCAAATGATTAGCTTAACTATCGAATTACTTGGTTCTAGAATTTGAATCGAAGGGATTTAAATATTGGTAAAGTCGTAAAGATTATTTTATACGTATTTTTAAATTTTAAATTTAAACTTGAAATATTGGTAAAGCCGTGTATATATATATATATATATATATATATATATATATATATATATATATATATATATATATATATATATATATATATATATATATGGGAGAATTTCATATATGCCTATTTTAAACTTTAAAATATCATATTTATCCAGCTTAATTTCTTAATATCATATTTACCCTTCATAAACCTTCAAAATATCATATTTACTCAAATCCTTTTTTATAATGTTTTTAATATTTTATAATCATTTTTTTATAACTTAAAATTACTATAATAATTAAAAAATTTAAGGATATTATCCTTAATTCTAAGATAATGAAATATGAACTTCTAAATTGTTGGATGTCGTCCTCTTGACAAACAAAAATATTCATCTTCAACCCTCTCTATGGAATGTATATTTTGATTGTTTAGTTTTTTTTGTTGATTATGTTGTAGATGAAGGATATTTTAGATATTACCATTGATATTTTGATGTTTAAAAAGTACACATACGATATTTTGATATTTAACAAGGGTATATATGATATTATGATGTTTAAAAAGGATATATATGATATTTTGAAATTTTATGAATGGTAAATATGATATTTAAAAATTTTAGGAAGGGTAAATATGATATTTAGAAATTAAGTTGGGTAAATATGATATTTTGATGTTTAAGAAGGACATATATGAATTCTCCCTATATATATATATATATATATATATATATATATATATATATATATATATATATATATATATATATATATATATATATATATATATATAGGTTCATGTGAGGCGACCTAATTTTTTGAGACCGTGAGACGCATTTTTTTATTATTTTTATTTTTTTAATTAATTCAAGTTTCGAAAATAATATTTAAAAAAAGAATTTAGGGATTTTTCCATTTATTTTGCATTTTAAAATTATTTTTTAGAATATGTCAGTGTAATATTCTATTAGAATATTTCACGTATTTTTAAAAAAATGGAATTTATTTTTATTTATTTTTATTTTTTTTAGTTAATTCAAGTTTCGAAAATAATATTTAAAAAAAGAATTTTTAGATTTTTCCATTTATTCTGCATTTTAAAATTATTTTTTAGAATACGTCAGTGTAATATTCCAATTAGAATATTTCACTTATTTAAAAAAAAAAACGAAATTTTTATTTTTTATTTTTTTTAGTTAATTCAAGTTCCGAAAATAATATTTAAAAAAAGAATTTTTTAGATTTTTCCATTTATTTTACATTTTAAAATTATTTTTAAATTTGATCTCAAGGTCTCACAAAATTAGAATGGTCTCAAATGAACCTAAACATATATATATATATATATATATATATATATATATATATATATATATATATATATATATATATATATATATATATATATATATATATGAGACGGTCTAATCTTTTGAGACCGTGAGACGCATTTTTTTTTATTTTTTTAGTTAATTCAAATTCCGAAAATAATATTTAATTTTTTTTTTGAATTTTTCTATTTATTATGCATTTTAAAATTATTTTTTAGAATATGTACAATGTAATATTCTATTATAATATTTCACGTATTTTAAAAAAAACAGGATTTTTTTAATTTTTTTTAGTTAATTCAAGTTCCGAAAATAATATTTAAAAAAAGATTTTTTAGATTTTTCCATTGATTTTGCATTTTAAAATTATTTTTTAGAATATATCAATGTAATATTCTATTAAAATATTTCACGTATTTTAAAAAAAAAAACGGGATTTTTTTAATTTTTTTAAAATTTTTTTTAGTTAATTTAAGTTCCGAAAATAATATTTAATTTTTTTTTTGATTTTTCCATTTATTTTGCATTTTAAAATTATTTTTAGATTTGGTCTCACAGTCTCACAAAATTAGAATGGTTTCAAATAAACCTGAAAACACACACACACACATATATATATATATATATATATATATTATATATATATATATATATATATATATATATATATATATATATATATATATATATATATATATATATATATATATATATATATATATATATATATATATATTGGTAGAGGTTATTTTATATGTATTATTTTAGGTATATTAATAAAGCTAAATATTTTAAACGAGTTAATTAGTAAAAAATATTTATTTTGAAATTAAAAAAATAATTATTTTAGGAATACCTTGAAACAGTAATTATTTATGATTGTTTCCGAGTTGGTGATTGGTTGGTGAGATGTGACGTAAAAGTGTAAAAAAATACTTCGAAATTTTGAAATCGTATATTTCGGACTAACTTTAATACAATCCGAAATATACGATATTCCAGAGAACCATTTTAGAGTTATAAATATCAACATTTGTACATGATTTCTTGATCCACTTCCTATAGATTGTTTTACAACATTTTGACATCTATTTTCTATTAGTGAAAATGAGTATACTTTTCAATTTATTAGAGTATTTGTTTGTAGTGGAGGACAATAAGAGGTTATAGACGGTTTTATGCATTATATTACTCCAGATTACAAATGTTATGGTGTGGATCTAACTAGCTATATCAACTTTTTTTTGGGTTTGTTAAATTGGTAACTTTAAAGTCCAAGTTATATACTAATTACATTCATTTGTCTTTCCAATATCTTGTATCAAACATAGTTATTCAAATTATCTCTCTATTTATCTATATTATCTATCTATCTATCTATATCATACATACTTATAAAACTAGCATTTTTCTTTAAACCTCATGCATTTGAAAACCTCATAAAAATTTGCAAACACCTCATGCATTTGAAACCTCCTATTTTAATGAATACCACTTAAAAATCTCTTAATAATGATTACTAATTTAAAGGTTTTATAACTTATATAATATATTTAATAAACAATTAATGGATACTCTACTATAAAAAGGTTAATCTTTTTTAGTAGACACACAAATAAAAATCACATACAAAATTCACAAAGAAAATAAGTATAAAGTTTTTTATGTTGGTTTGAGGGCTTTGAACCATTTTTTGAGCTATGTTATTATGTTGAAGTTTTTAATTTGTAAGTTTGTTATATACTAATTCTTTTTTGTATTTTCTTGATTTAAGTTTTCTCTTAAGAATATCATTGTATGTTATGGTTAAAATTTTAATGTAAATTAGATTAGATTCATGTTATCGATCATATATTATGGAATATATATACATATATATATATATATATATATATATATATATATATATATATATATATATAAAATTAACTATTGTATACATGTTCGTATGTTCATGTTGCTTCAAAACAACAATTAATTAAAAATCATGGATATGTTATATTATCAATATTATCCATGTAAACATTTTTTAAAAATGCAAATTGTCTGTATTATCACTTTATATTTTAGTATATTTTTAACATTTTAATTATAACAATAAATGTTTTCTAAAAGTTTCTTTCACTTATTAATAATAATAAGTGGTTTTAAAATTAATAAGCAATAATAAAAAATAATAAAATGAAATTACATAGATATGTCATATTATCCATGCAAGTCTCTTTTGAAATGTAGATTGTCTATCTTATCACTTTATTATTTAGTGTATGTTTCACATTTTAATAATAATATTAAGTGTTTCTTATAAGTTTTCTTTAAATTATTATTAATAATAAGTGGTTTAAAACTAATGAATAATAATTTTAAATGATAATAACATCAAATTATAAATTACATTTAGCTATAAACAAATTGTATTTTAAATTAACATCATTATTAAAATTAGAAAATGATCGCATAAGTAAAAATATAATTAATCAATAATAATAATTGTTAAAAATAATACTAAATAGATAATTATATTTAATTCTATTAACAAAGAATATCAGTTGATGTCAACGAATATTATTGTTCAAAATAATAAAGAATATATATATATATATATATATATATATATATATATATATATATATATATATATATATATATATTAGTGTAAAAATATTATCTCAAAGTTAATGTCAATAACATAACCATTTTAAACATATATTGTTCAATATTTTAACAATATATTTTTAATTTTCGCTGCACAACGCGTGGTAATTCGTCTAGTATCTTATAATAGAAGTATTTTTCTAAGCACTACATTGA